AAGAGTGGCAACTTACCAACTTGCAAAGTTCTCACAGTAAGTTTTGTGTTGTGAGGTGTTGAAATATTACACAGATATTCTCCGCTGTCATTTGGAGTAATATCAACCAATATCAGTGAAAAGTCACTTTGGTTAATCTCGACTCGAGGCTGGTAAGAGTGAGATGTACCATTGAAGGAGGCCAGGACTGAGATCACTGCATTTCTAGTTAACGTCCAAACAACACTGAAGCCTTCGGTGTTTGCAGTGTTACTGCTGTATTCACAAGGAATTACAATGCTACTTCCTCCCACAGTAGACAGTTCGTCTGAAACAGACAATTGAAGAACCCTCTACCATTTGCTTTAGAAAATACTATGAAGGTTATTTAGACAATTTCTGAATTTTAAGTCCAATACTCTCATGAACAAATGTAAAAACATATTTCACTATTTTGATATCATCTTCAAACATCGCAGTGTGCTTCCAGAAGCATGTGAAGATTTTAAAATCAAACCTATCTTTCTTACACTTCAAAAATTCTAATTGGTATTAGCTATACTTATGAAAATTATTTTGTTTTCATTTGCCTATTTCTCCTCTAATTGGGGGGGCTCATTAATAAAAGTGATTCAGCCTAGTCTAAGTTACTGTGTAAAATAGCATGAAATGCCACATGTTGGGAGCAGGGAGAAAATGTAACAGATACCTGCACATTTAATGCAAAAGGGTAAAGCTGTTACAACATAATTTAATTAAAAGAATAAAAAGATTGTAATTGTTTAGAAATACGTTTCAACTATGGTGGGCTTAAGTACTTTACCTGTGTGGAACACTTACAATTAATTAATAGCTTTAAAAAAAAAAAAAAAAAGGAAGGGGAAGGAAAGAGCAGGTAAGTGGAACTAATAACCAATGTATAAAATACTAATATAAGACAAATTAATATCATAGCACAAGTATCAGTTTGACAGTAAGGATTTATTGCAAAGGAAGAAAAAACAGAGGAGGTTGTTGTGGTTGGCAGTTGCTGGAGAGGAAACTAATACGTTATTTTGACATGGTATAACCATGCTTCGTTTCCATGTGTGGATCTAAATGAACAGATGTTTGGGTTGAAAAACCACAACAAAACCATACCCCACATTGTTGTTATACAAGGAAAAGGAAAAGCAGGGTATTTTCAAAATGTTCCAGTGAGAGGATAGAAGGACACAGGGAAATTCAAACGAAAATGTAATAACATGTACCTTTTTCTCTTGTGGATCAGAAGGGCAGGTTAACAAAATAGACACTTCAGTGGACTTGTTACCTACTATGATACCATACTTGAAACCTTTCATAGTTGTAAGCTACTGTATGTAAATTAAAAACTGCACTCTTGTTCTGAAGCATATGCAGGGGATTAGGAACTGAGAGTGTCTGGGTATACTTTGGGGGAAACCAGGGCAATGGAAGTAGCCATGCACATCTCACAAAGGAATTGCTCTCGCATTGCTATTGATCCAATTAAGAAAATACTTCCTAAGAAACAGGAGAGGTTGAAAAGTACCAGTTACTTGAACTGAATTTCCAGTAAAAGCTTGGGATTGCAGGAGGATAAAAGAGAGTTGAAATTTCATAGCCCTGTTTTCCCTTAACTAACAAAATGAGCTGCTCTTTGCTCTAATGTAAACAGTGCTTGCTGCTCTCCACTCCCGTGAAGAGAAGTACAAAAAAAGAATCAAATGGTACTGATAAAACTCTGCCAAAAGATGGGGAATGGACTGAGTAAGGAACATATGCATCTACAGCAGCAGGCAAACTTTCCCCTCTCTCATATAACCCACAGCGTCACTAAGGTTTCCATGTATTTTGTCCGAGTTCATGCTTTTCTTGATAGAGTGTAAAGTTTGATTATTGCACACCTCTTGAAACGTGAAACTGATACAGAAAAAATGTTTAGAGTAAAGCAAACATACAGAAGTGTGACTAGCCCTACTTCTAGGACATGCTGTCTTGTAACAGATGAGTTTCAAAGAGAAAGACACAACTTTTTTTACCATCCCTACCAGTGTTGCCCCACTGTAGAAAAACTATTCAATTTGGCTCTGAAACCAGCTGTTACATTCAGTAACACTGCAGGAAGAGACTTCCATTCGCTCCTACCTTGCATCTTCCATTCACCAGTCCACTCTTCATGAGGGAGATGAATATGACAGTAGTAAGGATCAGCTGTGTTCATAATGTTCTGGTCGCTTCTAACAGAATACAGAACTCCATCCCTGGTGTCCTCCCGACCTGTTTCTTGGGTGGATGTATTGCCTTGTGCCCAAGATATACGTGGTGCTGGGTAAGTGAGAAAGGCATAGCACTTCAGAGTCCTTTCTGTGTCTGTCTTTTGGTATTCCAGTGCATAGTAAGAGCAAACTGTAGATTTAAAAAGAAAAAAAAAATCCTGTTAGTTTCAAAATCCTTTTTAACTTGAAGTGATTGGTCTTTTGAAATAACATTAGGGAGAATAAACATAACTGGGAACAAAATTTAATGTGTTTGATTTCAGAAGAAAGCATATCATTACTTACTGCCAATGCCAGAATCTGTACTGTTCTGAGAAGCCACATAATGCTTTAAAATTCAAGTACACTACCTAGTTAACCTTTAGAAATCACGGTGCAGTAGGTTATGAGAACAAATGCTGCACTGTAATTTTTCAACTCATGTTACAGTGTCTCACCAGAAAAAATGAATTGCCTGGTAATACCATCAGGCCCCAAAGGCACTCTGTTGGGTTGGAAGATTTTGATTCCATGTGAGAAATAAGACGAGAAAATCTGTTGGTGTAAACGCATTTCCACTGGTGTGATCCAAGCACTTTTGAAGTTTTACTGACCTCTTACGCGCAGGGTGACTTCAACTTCTGTTTTAGTTTGCTGCGTTCCTACATAACAATTATAAGAGCCCTCATCAGTCACAGTCAAGTTACTAAGTTTCAAGGAGGCATTTCCATGAGAAATGTTCTGGTAGAAAAGGTGTGTTCTATGTCTGTAATTTGGGTCTTGTCTTTCCAGCTGATCCATCTGGTAGTAGTAGCTGTGCACATTTTTGTCCCCTTTCTTCCAGTAAATTACTTCATCATCCCCAGGTGGGAAAGTACAAGGGAGGATGCAATCCTTGGAAAACAGCCCCGTTACTGTTTCCTGTTCTGTAAAACCTAAAGCGTGTAAGTACAAGTGAATAAGTTAAATCTAGTCTACATGCATATTTCTGCCCCTCCTTATCCCTGACAAAAAAATCCGCCCTGGCAGGCAGCACATTCCTACAGAGCATGCCAACAGCCCTTTCATGGCTTTTCTGTAGCATGAGTCTCTGCGACAGCAAGGGTCTTCACTTTGTTTAATTAATATTATAATGCAGAGCTCTTGTCTTTGACCTTATAATCATTTTAAGTAGATATCCTGAGTAAGCACCTACATATTCAAATCAGCACACCGCCACCTTAGCACCTGAGCTTCAAATGCATTTCCAAAAGCACCACCTTCAACCTCAAAACCTTTTGAGCTGCAGTTTGTTACTCACTAAAACGTTCATAGTGCCATGTTGCAATGACCTGGGTTACCAACAACCTCACATAGCACCACACAGTTGTACTATCACAGAAAAAAAGGGGCATGATGGTGCAACCAACAGGAAGGACAGAACTTGAAACAGCTTCAACACCACAGAGGGTGTCAGGGAGCTCTGCCCCAGTCCCTGGAGGTAATTAAGATGTGGACTCCTCGAAATTAATGTACACAGGTGCATCTGATTGCTGTTAACATTTAATTTAGGCCTTGCTGGCATAAAATAACAATTTTAAATGAATCTTTTTTAAACTGACTGCATAAACTTAGCATCATCATACGGACCTTCTTGGCCAAAGTCAGACAATCTGTTAGGCTGGTAGTGAGTGTCCAGCTGCAGCTGTCTTCTCAGAAACTTTGATGCCCTCTCCAGCTCATCTGGCAGGGCAATCCAGATGATTTTTCCTCAGCATTCTCAATGGGGCAAATTCAACCAATGTACTTCAAACCATTTTCAGTACGAACTGACAACTACTGCCCTCTGAACACAATACACTCACCAGCCAAGCCGTGGGGCAGAAACATGGGCAGGTAACAGCTTGGGTACTCAACATTTTTGATGGCCATGGCCATCCATGCAGCCATCTTCCAAACAGTCGTCCATTTGCTTCGTAAGTGTTTTACATTACCCCATATCGATTATTTACCATTAATAAACAGTGCTTGAATTCATTCCCACTATTAAAGAAAAAATGCATAATAATGGTCATCTTTATTGTTTTTCATAAACAATAGAGCTAAAACCTACCCCAAAGTGTTGCACCTATGTGAAAGAAATAGGTGAGAGGAGATGGTATTTTCTGTCCCTTCATGTCGTCTTGGGTTCATAGCAGACTCACATCAAACTGACAACATAAAAGGAGGGGAGAAAACCTGGTTAAATGCAGGTAAAAGACGTACCCTAATTATATAATTTCCCTTGTACAGCTTATTAAGAACTGTGGGCCTTTGTAACATGCTTTTTGTTTGCAACAGTCTTGGCCTAGATTTTTGGCCTAAAGGTCATTATGTAATACTATACATTTCGTAATGGCTGAGGCCCTCTCATTACCATGTAATCCTTCGCAGACTGATACTTTATGTTTAATAAACAGAAAGTCTTTACCCTCAGTGTTCTTATAGGGCTAGGGAACAGGACACTGAGGAAAAAAAGGTCAAGTACCTTTTCCAAAAGGGTGTAAGATGTCCCTTGTCAAGTCACATTTTTCTACTTCCTAAAATATATTTCTGATTACTGCAACGTCTGACTGAGGTAGGCAATTTGCCTGCATTTGCAAATACTGCAGATACAAAGAACATTTTCACACTTTACTCTTCCCCAGATCAAAAGAGCATCTGAACTTCCAAAAACATGTGTATGGAAGTCTCAGGTAGGAATGCAAAGGAGGAGGAGGTTCTCCCATCATATATTCTGGTCAGTTAAATGACAATGAACTAGAAGCTCTCATGCACAACAGAAAAGAATAATTCTATTGTAGCTCATAGACCACACTCTTCCTCCATGTTGTGGTGTAGGCCCAGCCGGCAGCAAGGTACCACGCGGCCGCTCGCTCACCCCTCCCCCAGCACAATGGGAAGGAGAAGTATAACAAAAAACTTGGGTCGAGATAAGGACAGGGAGAGATCA